AGCTTAGTGGCAATAAGATATTTAAAGACACACTTTGTTTTGCACTTTACAGAATGTATTGCCTTGCATAACTTGTGTTAAACCATAATTTAAGAGCTCCCTTTAACCGTGCACAAATAACAACTTAATGTGCAACACCAGTTTTGAAAGATGATGTCAAAATTTCTGTGTTACAAAGTAAATAAATAGCAAAAAAGAAAAAATGAATTTGATTTGGTCAAATAAGTAACATCATTAATACCACTCAGAGATTAAAAAAACTATATAAACATAAGAAGCGGATTGTTGCTGTTATGCTTACACACATTTCTATTCCAAAACCAAGTTTTCAAAAATGACTTAAACATGTGTTTTGAATGAACCTCATTTTAGTGCAATTTTTGCTTAGAAAATCTCTTGTTTACAAGCTAACTTCTAACCTTCAGCTAGTACACGCTCTGTTCCCTGACACCTTGTAGGAATTCTTTCCATTTCATACAACATTTTCAGGATAAAACAGGTGAGACATAAAATCAAACCAGACCAGGAAATAAAACCCAACCGAAACTGAAATAAATAAATAACCAACCAACCTCCCTCTCGGTCAAAGTTATGCCCTCTAGTAAACCTCTGCAACTTTATGGTTTGCACTACTAATATTTGGCTTTCACAGAGATAACCACTTTATAACAACACACATGTTCTAGAAATCCTGTAAACCTACTTGAATAGCTCTTCTCCACATTTATACTTCTGTCCATCACCTGAAAGAATAGAAACTATGATACCACTTCATAGCAACTGAACAGAACTGTCTGCTACAAAATAATAAAAAACCCCTGAAAATACAAAAAAATCCCAACAACAAAAACTCCAAAACAATGAACCAAATAAAAACTCCAAAAAAGCCAAAAGCAAAAAAAAAAAAACAAAAAAAAACACCAAAACCCCAGAAACAAAAAACCCCACAAAATAAAAACAAAGAAACCCCCCAAAAAAACGAAACCAAAGTAAATCCCCCTCAACCCCCCCCAAAAAATAATTCTTTGAAAAGACAGAAAAGAGACAGATAATAAAGTTATAGTGGTATTCCAACAATTAAAGAATAATCCTGCATGATGTTCCCTACATTCCCTAACTGCAAAACTGGAGTCAAAATAGCCACAAAAAAAAAAAAGAGAGAAAATTGAAATCAGAAAAGTAAAAGCCTGTCCACAAATTTTAAAGTCCTATTTCAGTAAAATAATTTTTACCTTCCAGTGAAGCACCTTAAAGTTTATAATCATCACATTTACCTTTCCCCTAAGTGAAAAGTATGCTGATGTTTTAGTGATTAGAGACACAGACAGGTGAGATACAGGTGGTTATCTTCACCAAAGGAGAATATTGCTACTAAGTCTGTTTTAATTTAATTCTCTTTAAGAAAAAAAACAACAAAACCTCCCAAACCATCACCATCTTATATTGATTCCTATTACAAGAATCTTCAAGATTAAGAAGAGAACTCTTCTGCAGCACAGCTCTCTCTTGCCCACTTCACTGGAAATCTGAAAACATCAAGTGCATTTCATAAAACCTTATCACCTACAAGTATGTTTACAAGCAACTGTCACTTTTCATTAAGGAGTACAATTCTGACAATGGTAGGGAAAAGCTAGGAAATAGAAATCCTAAAAGCTCAAGATTAAGCAAAATGAAAGCAAATTAATAATCTCACCTTTGTAACCTGATGATTTTTGTGGAACCCAGTAATCGTGATGACTTAGGCCTCATGGATGTTGAATTTAATTTAAAAGAGCATCTAAAAGTGCTAAGCATTTGCAGACAGTATGAAGACTAAAGTCAGAGCAGAAGTTCACAACAAACTCACAAGATTAAATATTGTTTTACTTCTAATAATATACTGTAATTTTCATAATTAGGTTTTCCAAGAGAGTTTCCTTCTCTGCTTTGCAACAATAGCCATAACCAATAAGACAGTTTGCAGTTAACATAAAATTTTTGCGAAGTCATACCTGAAGCCAACTATGAAGAGATACAAAAAGACCTCATGATACTGAGTTCACTGGGTGATGAAATTACATCAGTTTTAACATAAAGATAGGCACAATAATGCAGATGAGGGAAAAACAGACAAATAATGAATAGCAAACATACAGCACTAGGTTCCAACAAGACACTGCTACAGACGAAAGATCATGCGGACATTACAGCAATTCGATGAAGACTCCTGCAAAATATTCAGCACCTGATGGGGGTATAAAATAAGCAGAACACTTGGCACTATCAAAGGAAAACAAGAAAGAATTACACTAGTGTGTATAGCCATGGAGCATGTAACTCTGGAATGATAAAAGAGTGAGAGAACAGTAACAGCACCATCAGCACTGCAGAAAGGCTTACATGTACAAAGAGGCAACAAGGAGGTTTTTGACAACAGAAAGAATACGAAATTCACACAGACTGATGATGAGGACGCCAGATTTTGACTAGGAGGCAGGGAGTGTTCAGTCATTTACCAGTGGGGATGCCATGGAAAAGACAGCTGTTTTTGCACACAGCAAGCACAAGGGTGAAATTAAATAGTAGGTGATGCATTGAGGGTCAAAAATACCACCAAGTTAAAAAATAACTTTTCAATTGAAAATCAGATTATTTAAATAGTCATCAGAATCAGCAATGGCTACCATGCTTGAGAAGCAAAGCCCTTCTCAAAAAGCTTCTCACCCCAGGTTGCTCAAGCCACGTGCCTGTCAAAGCACTGCTGTCTTCTGCCTTCTTCATTTTTGGAAGGCAGCTCCTTACAAGCAGTCTAGCTGTGCAACCAAGACTGCTACAGACCCATAGGGACACACTGATCCTCAAGCCCCACCGCAAGAAACTTTCATCTCCTATTTCAAACAAATCTATTTCAGAGATGACAGACTCATCCCACCTGGCTTTGAGCACTTAAATGAGCCATTGGTGACGAAAAAGCACTATTTCCTTCACCCTCCTTGTGCCAAAGGGGAGACAAGCACCTGGGAGACCACCATGAAGCCACCAACCTAACTGGACAGACACATGCCCACAAGGACCAACAGATGGATTGTGGCACTGGCTCTGCACTCCAGGGAAAAGATTTACCAACTCGAGAGAGCAAACAAACCCAAGAACAAACACATTTGCTCTCAGGCTTTACTCTCGCCTTTTAGTTGTGTCTTCCTCCTCAACGAACCGGGCAAAGAAGCTGGGACAGAATCAGAGGGAAAAACCAGAGAGATGAGAGGGACTGCATCCCTCTTGCCCTAGAGAAGTGTCCAGCCAGTTCTGGCTCCATGGATGAGGTCCAAGATACAGATTCAGTTGCAGGTATCGTTCTCCAGCTCCTCCCACTGAGAGGGATGTTGTGGCTTCTTACCACTTAGGACTTTTTACACCAAGGATTAAGCTGAAGGCTTGTTCCTCGCTGGAGTTTCCACTTCAAAGAGCTGCTACTGTGGATACTAAAGCCTTTGAAAGCGGCCTCTGCACAGTCCTGAGCATTAAATGAGGTCTTTAAAAAAAAGGAGGGGGGGAAAGTAGAAAGTGCACTGGCTTTATAAACACATCAGTGGGGCCACTTTCAAAGCCTTTCATGCCATCTCCAATGTGACAGAAAAACTTAAGAGTTTTTTAGCCCCCATCCCAACTCCCTTAAAATTATGGCAATAAAGTAATCCATCCTCAAACTGTTTCCCAGCATTAGCAGAGGGGAACTAAAACACACAAGGGAACTGTAAAAAAAAAAAAAAAAAAAAAAAACTACAATCACACACAAAGCAAAAAAGTTTTTAAAGACAAGCACCAGCCTCCAGGACAGCGGCGCGCCGTGCTGCCAGAGCATGTTCAGCATGCCAATAAGGACTGCAGCACTGCAATCCCCAGCACCAGCAGCCCACGCGCCGGCCTCCTCCTCTGCAAAAGCCTCTTGCCAGCTGGAGGAGGTGCCCCAGGCCACAGCACTTTTTGGCTACAGGGTGAGGAGACAAAGGTGGGAAAGCTGGCATTGGTCTCCTCACAGCAGAGAGGCTGTAGCAGGGGATGCTGTGCCACAGGTGAACACAGCCGTCAGAGAAATCCCGTACACGTTATCGCAGCCTTTTAAGTAAAAAGAGCGAGGCAGTGCTGAAGTCCTGAATCATTAACTGTGTGCAGAGGTACGCTCCTGCCAGCAGTGAACCTGCCTGTCCTGCCAGGGCACAGCCAGAGGGGTCTGCTGACAAACCAAGGCAGATCTAGGCTTGAAATATGCACATAGCTGCTGATAACAGCACTGCAGATAGTCTGAAAAGTGGAGGGAAATAGCCGAATAATATTTTAATGGACTAAAACAGGGTTTGCTGTCCTACGAGGCAGCCACTTTACCCACCTCCCATAGAGAGCTGCCAAAGGAGACTGTGAAGGCACAAGCCTGACATGCTGAAACCCAGCATTGAAACATCATCCTTTCAAACAATGGAAAATAATGGAAAACTTGGCACTTGGAAATTGTAGGTTAGTTTTAGACTATGTTCAAAACACTGCCCATGACACCTATAAAGTACATAAATCATGACAGATTCAGAAAACTAGGGGCTGGGGGACTGAGCCATTCAACATGCCTGAAGTATATATAACAGAGCAGTAGGGGGAAAAGACCCAAAACAAGAAGCTCAAGTTAAAATGTATTCAGTCCAGATAGGAGTGAACACTAGAGAGTTAAAAAACCAAAAAATTATTTGCCAGGCCTCTTAAAACAGATCATACACAAAAAAAAAAAATACTGAAAAGTTGCCTTCAGAGTTCCCACAAAAAAAAAAAAAAAGAAAAAAAGAAAAAAAAGGAAGAAAAGAAAAAGGCATTTCTAACCAAATCCTAGCTTTCGTCTCTTCTTCCATAAAACTACTACAGGAAAACATTTCTGCATTTTTCCTTATTTGTATTCTTTAATTCTGCCTACTGTCAGAGGTGCTGTATTCCCTGCAGGAGAGATTTTACAGCTCATGAACCTCCAGACTGACCTTGTCTCTAATTATGAGTTCAGCAGTGTATGGTGCCCAGATCTTCCCAAAACGCTTCCCAAAGTGTTTATCATCCACTCAGAAACTGATGAAAAAAACACATTGATCTAAAACAGAAAAAAATGAATAGACTCTGATATGAACCATCTGTTCCTATTTCTTGATCCACTTCTTTATGCAATTACTGTATCACTTGATCCCTCCCACTGTCTTTATTAGCTATTGTTTTTGTAGTCCAAAAATCACAAAGATGAAAAATTATATTTTTATGAGTGTGTGTATATTACGTGTGTATGTACTTGTGGACATTCATCCAGGTATAAAAAAGGAGAGAGAAAAAAAAAAAAAAGGAAAAATATAAAATAAATCATAGAGAGAGTGTGAACCTCTGTACTTTTGTTTACAGCTGAGCTCTTCTAACTGGCAAAGTTTCAGGTATCACAAGCCCACCAGGTCTTTTGCCAGAATTACAACTCCAGGAATCCTACAAGTCTTCTTCAGAAGCAGCAAACTGAACACTGGCAGCTCTCAACAGCTCTACTAATCATCAGTAGCACAAAGAGTCCCGCACATAATTAGTATTTCTTTGTGTTAGTTATAAGGATTTTGCATATAATCCCCTGTTAGGTATGCTCTTAAATCTTCACAGCCCCAGACTTTTCCTTTTTTAGCACGCCTGAAATACTGAACTAAGAACTCGACATCGCCAGCATTATCAGAGAGGGAGCTCGGTGTTTTAAGGGCCTGGTTGCAAAAGAAAAATAAAAAATAGTGGTGATTAAGAAGTTGGCAGATTTAGAAAGGGGCTGCATAACTTCTTTCTCCTCATGCACCTTCTACTCCAAATAAAGCCACAAAGCTTGGTTATAAAAGAAGACTTTTTAAAAAGAAGACTGTATATCAATAACCCACAACTCTCACTGCATTTGCTAATAACGTATAAGGAGATTAGTTTAATTAGTCAAATTGTTAATACTGCTATTATTTGAACTAGTTTTCAGCCTGACACTCTCTTGAAATGAGTTTTATTTTCCTCAGGCTATAATTTCAGCCTGTTTACAGACCAGTTACATAGCACTGGTGCACATTAGTTAACCATAAAACATTGTATTAAACATATCAAATTAGCTTCACCTTCAAAGGTTTTTAAAAGAAAATACATACTAACAAACTTTAAAACAAGTAATTTAGTTCTCTTTTGCTAAAATTTTGCAACAGCTATATGCGTAAAATAAGGGAAAAATAATTTGACTTTTAAAAAGGTGTTTCTTCCCTGGAAGAGAAAACCAATCCTCGGAGTCAGAAATTTCTAGTAACATTAGGAAGCACCGTATCACTAACAGCTCTCAAGTGAAATTTAACTATTAGTAATGTGTTAAAACTGTATGCAAAATAATTAATAAATAATTTAAACACTCTTTTTCTTATCTCTCAGTATTATAAAAACGGAACATTTTACAGAGCTTTTACAAATAAACACAGTACAGATTATTTCTGACATATATCTGAGCAACCAAGAAGAAGATTCATTTACAGCTGAGGTGATACTCGAGTGCCAGAAATCCCACGCAACATTTAAGAGCCATTTTTCTTGCTCAGAAAAAAAAAATTAAAATGGTAGAACAATTATCTCACATTTCTGTAAAACGTACACTTACAAATTAAGAAGCTGATTTGCCTTTATAAACGCTCTAATGTCAAGCACTATCCTTCAGGACCTCTAACTCATTAGAAAATTCTATCTTAGGAAAAGAGAGTAATTCTAAACAAAGTAATTATTCCTTGAAAACAGACAGACTGCACATCAGAAGGTGACGACACTAATAGCTCTGATGAAATACACAGAGCAATTAAGCAGAAAAGATATTACTAAATGAAAGGAGGCACCAGAATCTGGTCTGAAATACTTTTATATACCAAATAAATGCAAATGATGAATATTTAGTACCATCTCTACTCTCTAAGCCAAATGTTCATTCACCTAACCATATAAAGTAGCAGTATTTATGCACCTTGACCAGAAAATAATTTTTTAAATCCTTTCGTCATTTGATTGTCTGTCAGTAGTTTGACAAAAACTACTTGATTAAGGGACAAATGCAAATTTTCACTCTGGTAGTCAGGTACAACAAGACAACTCTAGATATTGTGATCTACAAGGTATGGAAACCAGACACTGAAATTATCTGAAAGTAAGAGATTGCCTCAAAACAGGAAACTGAAAAGTTTTCTCTGAAAGCTATGCATGAAAACAGTTTTATTTGCAAAAACTAAATATTTGTATCATATTTTATTCCTTGAAAAAGATTATTTTACTTGCTTCAAATTACTGGTCTTGCCTCACAGGCCTAACACAGTCTGCATACGAATAACACATTTAAGCATCAATAGTGATAGAGAGTTTAACATACATATCCATACCCTATGGACTTGTAATAATAATGTTCTACATCCTGACATGTGTTTCATTTGTTAGTAGATCTTGAAATTCTCAGAAGGCACAAGGTTGTTCCTACTTAGAAGACCATAGCATTGAAAAATGGTTCACAAACTGAGTGTGTGTCAACAACCCAGCCCCAGGTCTCCAGCAAGCACTTGGCCAGGGAGCAGGGAAGTGCTATCAACCTTCTCTGAGCAGAGTCAGCTGTGAGGAGTTGGGAGGTGACATCAGGAGGTCTGAGTACATGTCCTGTACGTCTCCTTGAAAAATGGGAGGGGCAATGGACAGTTGGTCTAGAAGGGCCTTGCCACAATACTGTTAAAACTCGTGTAAGTCGTTCCTGATAAAGGAAATCTTGAAACATCCCCCCCAAAATTACATCACTGGAAGTTTTTTTAGGCAGCAAAAGGTTCTTCTATCTGATTTCTCTTTAAGAAATTGATCTTTATTCTTTCTCACTACATACACTTATTTTTTCTATCAACATCCTAGCTGAATGTAAGTATCCACATGCAATGTACATGACTATTACAGGATAAATAAGACAACATTTTCTTGTTGTCTCACCAATGAGTAATCTTAGGGGGGAAAAAAATTTTAAAACTCAACTATATTTTATACTGTACATATAAATGATGCTGCTGTAACACAACTGAAGTCAGCATATTAATTTAGATCACTAACTGGGTAACATCCTGTAAGGTACTGAGCACCATCAATGCATATGCCAGTCTGAGAAAGCTGAAGAGGCTTCAGCATATCACAGGATGAGGAAATGTTCTCAGAGCATTCCTGAAACATGACAGTAAAGTTTGCTTCCTATCTAATAAATAATAATAACAACTAAAAACTACTACATTCTTCCAGAATTGTACAGACTTCTGCCTAAATATCTCTTTCTTCTCTCTAGAGCATTTAACATAAATCTTCTCCATTCCTTCCTGAGGCTCCTCCTCTGGAAGAAAGTTGATGTGCCTTAGCACAGTGAAATCACTGCTCTAAAAGCCAGCCTGCTCATTAAATTATTCTGCTAGCTGTGTGTTCTCTCATTAAAAATGTATAAAGATCAGATAATCGCAGCACGTATTATTAACCTTGTTTTCCTTGTTTTCACGTACAGGTTCTGTTTTGCTGCCTAGACAAAGACCTGGAAAGGGCAGTTTTTTCCAATAAGCTACAATAAGCTAAACTATGATATGAAAAAATTCCCCCAGCTCGAAGAGCACAAGGAATCACAGAGCAGTCAAAAACACCTATACTTTTATAACAGGGAAAAATACCGTAATCTTGTTGTATACTCATACAGGCAGGCAGTCTTGGCTTTAGTTAAAGCTTCGATAGGGAATTATTTAGATCAGCCAGTCTAATTTACCTAAATCTTCAAACATAGCTGCTATAAACTTCACAGATTTCCAGGTTGACTCCTTCTCCTTCTTAAAGCTAGGCTGCCCTTCCAGACAGCAACCCAGCTAAAAATCCAATTAGGGTAGCAGCACTTCTGAAACATACTGACCTATTTCTTTTTTCACTTGTTTTAATATGCATATACTCATGTTCTATTTCTGAAGAGAGCTATTTACACTGGAAATTAATACCCTTCGAAAACAAGTTACCATAAAATCCACCTATTTCACCCAAATAGAATCCATTCACAGGAGAAACAGTGTTTCCACGACTGCCCCAAGCAACACATACAGTATGCAGTATACTGCAGCAAACTCTTGAAACATTCGATAAAAGACAACGATCCTCCTACCTTGTTTAGCCCTGTCTATTCGACACATTCCCAACGTGAACAGGAACATCTGATATAAACAAACAGCCATATCTTTCCCATCGCATCATGGTAACTAATTCTCACACGAAACGATGAGCAGCCTGTAATGTTTTGGGTTTTTTTCTCAGGAAGCCTTGTGACTTATCTGGGGATTTTTCCTCAGATGATGAAGCAAAGACACAGCCTAAACTCTGTTGCTGAAAGACTGCAGCCCTTCCTTCTCACAGAGCCCTCCCAGCATATGGCAGCCAATCACACCCAGCTTCGTCAGCCCTACTGCTCTTAAACTGATCCTAACGGGATGATTGACACAGCAACACAGCACTTCTAATGTGTAAAAACAATGCATCCATACCAATGAACCAGGAATTTCCCTCGCACAGGGAAGGAGTTTTACTGGTGAGGCAAAGCTCCATGAAATAACATACGCAGCAAAAGCAAACAACTCCCTTTCCCTCCACTGCAACAGCAGCCTCACCATTTCTTGCACAAGGATTTTTAAAGCTTTTGCTAATTGCAAACGTGTGCACAAACAACATTTCTGAAACTGCAAAACTGCAGTGGTGCTGTTTTGTTTGTAAAGGTGAGACCATAATAAAGCAAACCATCTCTCTTTTATTTTAACATGCAGCCAAAACACACTCCGATTCAGGCAGTAATATTCTCATTTTAATACTGCATAATCTTATGTGCAGTGTCTGCATTTAACAGCAAAACAACCACAACATCTTTTCGATTATTTCAGACCGGTTGTTATGGACTGCAGGTAAGGGATGCTTCTCAATGAAACAATCTATATGAGGGTGTTTTAATTCATATCCATGGCAGACAAATCCCATCAGCAGCATCTAAACTGAAGTTCATGCAATTAGCTTGCAACTGTTGTTCATTTGTGTCAAGGTTCTGCCATAAGGACTACAATATCAGTTGCCATTTTCAGGTCAAGCTGTGGGCAGCTCAACACGCTTGATACACAAGGTCTGCTGTCAACCAGTTTTCCTATAAATTTTTCTAAAGTTTTAAAACATGAGAACAAAGCAGCCAAGGATTATTAAACAAGAGTTGCAATTAAGAAAAATACAAAAAGGAGTTTAAGCTGAAAGTCAGTCTTTATCCAAAAAGGGATAAGGTTGCAGTGCAACAGTACTTTAGGCAGCAGTTTAGGCAATTCAATCCATTATACAAAAAATGTGTAAAATGTGTTTAAAATGCCACTAAAAGTTTAGAAATATGAATAGACAAGAGGAAAACAAAGCTCTCATTCACTGGCAGCTCTGTCCCAAGGCCCCATTGTTTCCTGTGGACTATTTTGCATATTATAAACACAGCTTCCCAAAAATCCATTATTCCTCTATCTAGCAAGCAGCAACTCTCCTTTGGGCTCCACCATCTCCCACACAATTTGTGAAAACTCTCCCTTTCCAGGCATGGCTCAAACGTGTTCCTGCCAAGAAGGCTCCTGCCAGCCAGCCCTTACTTTCTGTTCAATCATCCCCTCCATTCTTCTCTATTCTGCCATACATTAAAAAAAAAAAAAATAACAACAACAAAAACCAAAACCAAAACCAAACCAAAACAAAAAATCCAACCCTCCTCAAAAAAACCAAGTAGTTGACTCTGGTGGGTTCAAGAGACCCTGGGGACAAGGGTGGTAACTCCACCCATTATTATGATGGCTTGCTGCATCTCATCAGGATTTTCTACATTCTTTTGACTCTGCCAAACTTGAGCTGCCCTTGTTAAAAATTTTCCATGCTGGACATCTGCTGCAGGATTTACTGACTTTTCTGCCAAAACACAGTTTGCCTATTTCTGAGATAGCCTAGACAAAAACATGTTGCTCTGCCATCCTTGTAACTCACTGGGGAACTCTGGCCCCTCTGCCCATGTTGGGGCAGCCTTGAAATTTAGCAAAGTGTTGACCCTTTGCTTTTTTGATGTTGTTTTTGAGGGTGGTTTTTTAATATATCGAGGGTTTTTATATGTTGTGCTACGCATATGAAAATATTTTCCAATTTGACAAAGCTTTAAAACCTGCCAATATTCAGCTGACTCAGAGCATCTTTTTAATTTTTGTTGCTGATCCCTACGGTGCAAATCTCTGAAAACGTTCTGCAGTAAGCATTTGATTCCTTCAGCCGTCCGTCCATATGTGGCTGGAAAGGCACCAGCCCCACAGTGCGACTGAGCATGTAATGGGCTCAAGTTACAGGAGATTAGCAGGATTTCCCCTGTAACTGCTGCTCCCATCTGCCAGAGACCAGACATTGGAGCTGACAGCAGGAAGACAACCTCGCCTGTTGCTCTCATGACCCTTCGGCCGCTGCCCCACGGACGTGCGTGAGACGAGCCCGTCAGAGCGCGCTGCAGAAAGGTCAGGTGGGCCAAAACACGGCGTGAGGCTGGGCAGAAGAGACAGAGTGACGAGAGGGAAAGGGAGGAATAGATGCAGGAGCCAGAGTCTGGCTGGTCTCGTCGAGCAGCTTAACACGTAGAAGAAGACGGAGCCCTGCCGGAGAAGGGAGAATAAGCAGCACAGGCAGCACGAGTCAGCAGAGCCAGCCGCCCTCTCCACAGACCACGGGCACATTCATACCACAATAGCCACCGAGAGCTCCTGTGGCCCATTAGTTCACTCCAAAAGAGGCAGGGAACTTGCAGGTTCCCTCAGCCCTTCCCCACCACAAACCAAAGGCAAGTCACTGACACAACCGCCTGCACAACCCAATTCCAAGTGCCACTGCTTCACAGTGCACACAGCAGACTGCAGCCTCTGCAGAGCTTGAACAGCACTCAATCAGGGCTGGGCTGCTTCCAGATAGCATTCCTAGGACTCCCGAACCACAAACACACAGCCACACACCCACCAGATCCCCGTGTGGGTTATTATGTTATAGATTCTCCTATGACAAAGGATCACAAGACCCTCAACACTTGGATGTGCTGAAAATACATCACATTTGTGAACCCTTTAGCTAAGGCCCATCAAAAAGTTCCAGAGAAAAGGCATGACTTCATGGACTGCAAAAAAATAAATTTTTAAAAATAATTGCTCTGTACATTGAGGAGTGAATAGTTCTCAAATGGAGATGTGCCCATGCATTCATTCATTTTTCACATCAGTTACAAAGAAAAAGGCCAGAATTTCAATTTTCAGTCTGATTTATGCAATCATATTATATATTTAATTGCAAAACAACATCATCTTAGAAGCTGAGAAATTCAGATGTCAAACTCAACAAAGAATAACAAAGGTAAATTCCCAACTCAGAAAATGCCATCTGCTCTGCCTGATATGCTCCTGTAATTAATGAATCAAGGGAAAAATGCTCCTATCAGTTACTATTACACACAATTTTCTGAATGGTCTTGATACAACTTTTGGAGAAAAGTGGATTAATTTGGAAGTAATAAAGAGGAGGAGAACTGAAAAATGCAGAACCCACGCAGTTATTTTCCCTTCCTTACTCTTGAATCACAGCAATTAGGTCTAATTCCAGAAACAACAAAACTTGTCAATTTAAAGGGAGCTTTGCAAGCAGGGTGGAACATATGTAACACTAGCACCAAAGTCACCAAGCAATTTACGTGATATACAGTTGCAGCAGATTGATGATTTTGAACTGTGCCTAGATGACCTATGGCAACAATGACGTTTGATAAGTTTGGCAATGACAAAAAGAACTGCAAAACTATTTCCTGTGTCAGTAATAGACTCTTCCCTTAGTAACTTCCCACAACTGTTACTACGAGCAAAATTCAGCTTTGGTAGCTATGGTCTGAATGACAGCATAAAGAAAAGTCAAAGCAGCTGCCAAGATTTTAAAACTAGGCACTCATGCATAATACCACTGATGCCAGCTTTTGCAGAATCAATCTCAATCTCTATATTGGGGCTGAAGGATGGTGGAAATAATTATTAAGTTAAAAATTTAAAGAGTAGTATCAAAATTCCAAGTTACTAACTGGGAACAGGTTCTGAAAGGACAGGTCTAATCTTTGTCTTAAAAATAGGCTTACCACAAGAACTTTAAGTCTGGCTTTTCAACTGTTTTAATTTCCAACCTCCCAGACATCGCAACATCTCCCTAACCTAGGAAAACTGGAGATTGTGCGCAGAAGGGAAAACAGATTATTCTATTTCCATTATATATATGCTGAGAGAAACATAAAATGAAACACTCCACAGAAGCAAGCATATATTCAAGTTATACATTAGGAATCAATCTTACCAAAATTAAGGTGGCTCCTGGAGGTTTTCCAAATGTTCTCTCTCCTTCCGCTGCTTGCACAAGGAGTTTAAGCCATGTCTAAATTGTGAGATCCAAACACATGGGTTCAGACACACATCCAGTCTGCATCCTGACTTTATTTTAGGATGACACCAATTCCCCATGGGGATGAAAACTAAGTACATGTGCACCATTCCTTTAGAGGGTGGTTCCAGTTGGGAAGGATGATGAAGGCATCAGCCAGAGGAGAACTGCAGTTCACTCCAACTAGGCTTTTGTAGCTGAATGTTTGAGACACATACACCAGGTGCCATGGAGAGCTGAGCTGCCTCAGGATTGTAGCCTTATGCACTTAGCTTGAAATACATTTGACCAAATATAAACAACCACATTTCACTGAGTCACTCTACTCCCCCTCTCTCTTTATAGTCACTGAAGAGAAATAGGCATTTGTGGGCTGTGATTCATCCTATCCCAAAGCAGCTATTCTAAGAGATTCCATCATATCCTAAAAGCAATTGCGTTTCTGTATTGGTTACCTGAGATGGCCACCCTTAGGCTTCTTCTATCATGTCTTTCATTAAACATGTAGGAGATGAAATCTTACTACAGAAGAAGCCTTATTACGAACATAAATATTTAGATATTTCAGTTTACACACACTGGATAGCACTTCGTATTTTCAAATTCAGTTCAATTAACTAAAGACATTAGCATAGAGCTAAAGGACACCTGTATTTTGACAATGTACAGTTAAAGCTTTGGTGTAAATCCTCAGCTTGCCATAAGCATGTTCCAGCTATGTTGCTATATAAGCTACATAAGCTTGTTCTCTAAGCTATGCTGAATATGTTCCAGGGTTTTTTTTTTCCCCTGACTGAACAGCAATCTTTGCACTCACTCACGCTTTCCTCCTCTGAACAACTGATTGACACCAAATTAACCTAAGAGGAGTTGAACTGGGATTCTCCTCTCAATTTTCTTCTTCATTCTGGAGGGGGACATTTTTGGGGAGAGGGAAGGTTGCTAAAATAACCGTTATCTTGCTGACTCTATAAGGCAGATACTATAAACTGGCAAAATAATCTCAGAAAAATAGATCGGCAAACCACCTACATGGTGGTTAGAACACTGACTTATGCAAAAGTTTTTTCAGGAAAGTGATTTGGTTTTTCTTCATGACAGCTGAATAAAAAGCCGCTTTCAGCTTGCTCATCTGAAATACCAAACCACAGAAGTATTAAAACATTGAAACTGAAATTTTAATCATCCAAACCTAGTTTCTTCTAGATGCCCTAGGGAATTTCTGTTGGTCCTCAGTGGCCACTGCTGGAAGGACTGGGTTACTGGTATGTCTTATATTCGCCAGCCCCACACAGATGTCCCAGATATAAAATTGTCTAGTACCATTTTAGATGCCTTATATTTAGATACCTGTACCCATCCAAAAAATGCATCCATTTCCTCAGAAATATTCCTATCAGATCTTCCCAAATCTTCCAGCAGAATGTAAAAGGATTATATACAAAACAGAAACTCTTTTTCGTCAGCTGCTGAACCCTATCCAGAATATGTTTTATGATTCACAAGGAATTGCAGTGTAAAAGTAAAAACACTGTTTAAGCCAGAAACATGTATCATAAATTCAAGATAAATCTCTCTCTCCTGGCTGACTTCATGTCCACCTAGTTTGTACAATGCATACCACGGCTAGGGACCTACCTGATGGAAGCCTCCTGAGCCCTCGACTTTGGCTGAAATAAACACCAAATGCTAAAGCCTTCATAAAAATGTATTTCAAATCCATGTGGTCAGGCAGAATACTTCCTAAATGTGTCAAATTAAGAAGAAAGCGAGTGTTGTACCTTTAGGTTTTTAATAATCAATTAGAAACAATCCAAATGTGTAATCCAGCACTACCCACTGATGCATAAATCATCTTTAGTGAGACCCCCATATACTGGGAAGTTCTTCCATTGCTGATAAAAACATGCTCCTTCCTCCTCAGACCCTTCCATGACTAATTTCCTCCATACCCATTGTTCTGGCCTCAGATTTGGAGTAGTTCCTATTCAAACCCACAACAGGAGGAAACCATTTGATAAATCACCTTTTCATAAAACCTACTAACCTCAGCCATAAAGTCTTGTGGCCACAGGAAAACCCTGTTGTGTTTCAAGGAATGTAGTGGAGGATGCATATACTAAATTTCTGCCCCTTATCTTGGGGATTTCCAACCTACTGGGAAGACACAGGAAAAAAATTTGTCCTCCAAGAAGTTCCTAAATGACCAAAAATAATACTTCATGTAACTATCTGAGTGAGAGATGTATTCCAAGCAAGTTTTCTGCATACAAACTCAGTATTTTTTAAATCTATGAAGATTCAGTTATCAGCCTCAAATATATATTTGAAATCCTGCATATAATTCAAGCAATGGCTCCAAATAATACATCTTTAAATGAGTGATGTAATGAGAACTCTCTAATTATCCTTTAAATCCAAAGCTCTATTTTATTAATCCACTATACACCCAAAGGGAAAAAAATGCCACTGAAACTAAGCTATATTTTGAATTTTCCCATCTTCAATTAGCACAAAAATAATTCAACTTGCTCTTTCTAATTCATTAAAATTAACCTATTGTTTTTGCACACTGCTACAGGTGTAAAACAACCTAATTTAACAGGTGATGCTGCCTCCTATTTCCTTACAAGCTGCCTCTTAATAGCCTGAGTCTATAGGGTAGATGCTCAGGGGCATGCAGCAAAATCAGCAAGCAATCTCAATTGTAAGCAGAGAAAATAGGCTCCAGGAAACTTCACAGAAAATGAAAGCCAATTGGATAATTTTTGTTTTTTAAAATCAGTAAGAGCAGCATTCAATCCCTCACCCTTTTACAGCAATTAATAACCCACACATGTAAGAGCAGAGGACTCTATATAATTAAAAAAGCATTACTTTGGCAAGAAGAGAGGGCCTGGAGTATGTAAGTGCAGGGTTTTATTTCTTTCTGTGAAGTATGGATGACAGGTAGGAGAAAGCTATGCCAAGCGAACTGTTGGCAAGCAACTAGTCTTTTGGTTAACAGGCAGCTCTGTTTTGTGAAGTCTATGAGTTTGTGTTCACTTAGGCAAGCTTTTCTTTAAACATCAGACTTAGATGTATTCAGCCATGAGTTTTGCACCAAATTTCCATTTGCACCTCAAAAGAGGTTGCTTTGTTTCAGCTTGTTTTCTGATTACTGTGAAGTGTCAGGAACACTGTTGTATAATGCTTTTAAACATTACATGTGGATCTTTGCCTAATTACTCTGCCACAAAATACTATATACATGAACATGAACCTTCATTTTTCCCAAATGTCATGTAACAGAAACCAAGAAATAAGTAGCTGTAAACACAAATAGAAAAAAGAATTGTTTTCACGCAGAAAAAAATAAGCAAACAAGTATGAGTAATCCAGGGCAAGAAACAAGGTCCTCTAGCAGAAGCACTGTGTGGGATAAAATGGCATCCAACAACATGACCTCTGAAAAAAGCATGTTTCAAGTAGCACATGTCAAAATTTAATCCCACCATCAGAAAAATGAAGCAAATTACAGAAAAAAATGCTTCAAAAATCAAATTGCTTACAGGACTTAATTCATCAGAGATCCAAAGATGGAACAGAGAGTTTATTTGTAGGGAAGTGTCTGTAAGGGGATAGCATCCAGCTTTCTAACACAGCTACTTCACCCATTCTGTAGTTTCCTCCCCCTCCTCTTCCTCTCT